TATTACCTAATGAAAAAAGATATTTGGTTACAAATACTAGTGGTATCTACTTGTCAGGTTCTGGGTCAAAGCGGAGTAACTCCGATCGTTTGATCCTGAACAAAGATTCAAAGTTACGATATATCATGCTCTTTATATCCCCTTTGCTTAAGATGACATTTGAATTCAAATTGTATCTTCTAAATTCTGGGTGTTACTTTTAATTTTTGGGGCGAATATCTTCCCCTTTTAAAAACTTTCTTTGTTTAAAATTTTATAAGTATTTTAAAAAAGGGCGATAATCATTTGATACTTAAAGAACTCCTCAACTACTTCTCTTTATGAATGAGCTATTATAAACGCATCGTCTATCGAAAAACAAAATCTTACCTTTATACTTATATTTTTCGATGATTTCAAATTTCTTGGCTGCATTTACTTGCCATACTGGCGCCTATTTTCTGTACAAAGTATCAGCCATTAAATGCAACACAACTGTTTTTCAACACTTTGGCTACTTAAGATTTCCCTGCTAGGTAATTTTATCGCATAATCACATTTTACTGCAATATTATAAACCCGTAAAACATATTGAATGATTAAATTGAACTCAATGTTGGTAGATACACACTGGTGAAGTAACACACAGAATGTAAAAGATATAATTTGTAAGTCCAAAGGTCATCTTAAGCAAAAGGTATATAAGGAGCATGAGTAATATCATAACTGTGAATCTGCTCTCAATATCAAACGATCACAGTTACTCCGCTTTAAAAAAAAAAAAAAAAAACAAGCACGTACCGCTAGTATTTGTTACTAAATATCACTTTTCATTAGAAAATATAATATGCAAAATGTAGGGAACTATTTCCTTAACCACCAATGGTTGCGTATAGTAGACATTGCAACCTTAAAGAAATACTGACTAGCTGGCTAGTCAAACCTCAGAAAACTATGAAGGACTTGGTCAGGACCCCTGAAGAAACACCCACCCTTCATTTGAGCAACGTTAGATCATAAGGTTTGTTCTTTTCTGTTCTGCAGAAACACGATGTGTTGAGTCCTAAGGAATAGACGTACGTTGCAGTTGGGTACTTTCTGACATTCAACAATGTTGTCTTATTTGTAATTACTAGGTTAAAACACGAAAGAAACTTCGCACCTTCATTAGTTTTACTCTTTATTTATGATTTATTACAAACCTTAGTTCAGAAAGTTAAAATTTATCCATTTGCAATTACTATTAACCGAATTGCTTTCTGTATCAGATGTGGTTGTCAGAATGTTCTGAACTCATATATTATTCATTTCTTTGGATTATGACCTTGTATTCTCCACCACTTATGGATTTTACAGAAATCAAGAAATATACTGATTAAAATAATAAAATTTCTGATAAATTGAAAAAAAAAAAAAAAGTCCTGTAAATTATCATGTTATATTAATTAAATAGTATATAATATAATCTAAATTAATTTATTAACATAGAATATGTGTTCGTCTATGTGCTTATATACAAATATCTTGATATATTGTCTTAAAGTTAATTTGAAAATCATATTTCAAACTGACTTTCATTGTATAACTAACAATTTACCATTTTATGACAAACACTTTTTCAACTTTTATTTTGATTTCAGCAGCTAGGAAAAATAAGGTTAAAGCAATTAAAGAATACTAGGAAACTAGTGATTTTGCGATCGACAAGATAGTTCAGTATATGACTCATAAGAAAGAATTAGCATTTATTCTCAAGTATTTTTATTAGTTGAAAATACAAAGGATGCAATAAATAAAGTGTCAAACTATTCCCGTAATGACATTCAAATACTTAATCTTTCCTTGTTTGGCGTGTAAAAATATAGAATTCAGTAAATAATGCTAAAAACGAGAACGAATACTTCATTAATTGCGTTCCGTTTATTACTTTTTTTGTCTGCATATTAGTATCTATCATGTATACAGTTTTTGAATAGGCTTGATCCTTCATTATAATATTAGAAATGAAAAAAAGGACGATAAATAACTTATTAAAGAATTGGAAAAAACATTGCATGTGTTTGTATATAGAGAACATTACTGTTGATAATCAATATGTCGTTCAACGATTGATTCCTAATCGCAGTTTGTCTTATGTGTAACTGTTTATTTTAATTTCTGAAATAGATGCACACATAACTAAAATATTTTTTATTCTGTTGATGATTTTTAGTTTATCGATGTGCAATGCTGTTGTATGTTATCTTAAACTTATATTATCTCATTCTTTTTGCTTGATTAGTACCAGATCAGACCAATTCGCATTACTTTTGACGCAATTATATAAACCTTGTGATATCTGAGTTGAATGGAATGAACAGGATATTTGTAATACAAAAGACAATAGTAAACCATGTTCGATTGTTTACAATCACATATTTTACCAATTAAACGTGTTGACTGTTTTATATTTTCCCGCAGTTTAACGTACCTGCATTTACCAATGGTAAAGTTGCTAATACTTTATCACTTATAAATAAATAACCTTGCTGGTGTCAAAAATTAACTGGTAATGTCACTTTCACTTACAGATACTTCGTATATTAACAATGAAATATGCAAAGATATTGCCAAATGCATCATCAACAATTCCAAGTGGCAAAACATCACATCATTCAACGATTTTCAACTGAATTATCTATTTTTATTCTTCTTTAAATTGAACGTGTAGCCATTAAAGGCAATATCTTATCTATTTCACAGATAATTTAAATTTGATACATTTTCTCTTTGGTTAAATCATGACAAATTTAAACAGTCAAGCCATTACAGTTATAAGGCCTGATTATATACAATTAGTTATTACAATTTTCACAATAGTTGCAAAACATTTTCATTAAAATATTTAAAATATTTAACCAAATGTCAGATTCTATCAATTTTTTGTTTAAATACCTTGTGTTTGTTATATAATGATTTTTTTTATTCTTTGTCAATATCATTAACATTGCATCCATATTGCTCAAAATGCTTTATCGCCGCGATATAGCCTTTTTGTACTGATGCAGCGTAAAGCAATCACCAATCAATCAATCAATCAAACAAAATGCTTTACTGCATACTAAAAAAAAAAACATTTTTGTAATTATATATGAAACAACAATAGTAATATATTTACATGTTAATCATACCTTACTACCTTTTACATTTATAGATACTTCTGAAACTTTATCTTCTTTCACTAATAATCTCCTTCAGTCAGATAAACGGACTTATACTGACTGTGATGCAATGGTTAAGGTGTTATAACTAATCAAATTTTCCAGACTGTTTTTTTTTCTCTCAGCCAAACAGGAAAATTGCTCAAGACTCATCGGGACAGTAAAAGTAATTTGGTTGACCCAAAACAATCCACTTATACTGTTGCAAAACGGCGATATGTTTTAACACAATTTAATCTCGTAGTACATCATATAGTTTTGCTTTCTAAGAAAAGTCATTTATGGACACATGGTATGTTTTCATTATGTTTAGTACATAAACAAATTGGACAGGGGTTTACGTCCCAATAGTGAGAAAATAAATAAAAATTTTGTTCATAATGTCACACATAATTACAAACTTACATGATTACAAACAAGTAAAATTAAAATAACTATTTGCATTTGTATCTTTTTCAAACATCAATGGATCAAGACAAAAAACTAAACAACCAACTAGGCCGTTGGTTTTCTCAATCGAAATATGTCATATTTTTCATGTCGGGGCCTTTTATAGCCGACTATACGGTATGGGTGTTTCTCATTGTTGCCTATAATGACTTACATCCACTTTATTTTAACTTTGGCGGATAGTTATCTCATTGGCATCATACCACATCTTCTTATTTTTAAATTGACCAATATCAAAAACAATCTATATATGTTTAAATATGAGAATGCTGAAATTAGAATCACGAACTGTTGACAATTGAATTAAAAATATCTTTAAACTGCTCTTCCTAAACAAAAACTCGCCATTTCACGAATTACTTCTTTTCAGAATTCAAACTTTCTTATTGCTTTGTCTCGGTTAATTTTCGACTAACTGTCTAAAAATATATGCATAAAATTCCATACTATATAAATTAACGATGATAAGCAATTGACTATTTCGTCACTTAATTCTATTATGTCATGATAAAACCGGTTGAGCGTATCTTAAAGAGAAAATATTTCAATATGTTGCTTTGGCTTAGATAAATCATAAGGCAGGTTCTTAAAAGTAAGTCGACCGGAATAGTCGATGATAATTTCAAATGCAAATGGAAAATGAGAGTTTGTGAATAGGCTAGCAAAGTGATTTGCAACACCATAATTAAAAGACCATTCAAATAGAGTTATATAGGCTTCTTAAACATGCATTGAGTTTGGCATATCTCTTTACATTAGTTGTTAGAATTTATGTCCATATCCCGACCGGACAGTGATGTTCATTTATACAAATCAACCACACCTAAAATGAACTTAACTTCTTATTAATATTAACGATCATTAATACAATACCAATGAAAGTTAAATTATATTCAGACATTAGTAGATTATACTCTGAGTAACTAGTTACTACGTTGAATATTTGACTATTTTATAGCATCCGTGATTATTCTTATTACATAAAAGATGCTCCACGTGATATAAAAATCAGCAGAAGATCTGCCTAAAAGTTTTGAACAAATAAAGATCCTAACATCTAATCAACAGCATTAATGATGAAAAACACACTCTTTTTATCTCGTATTCAGATTTAAGCTCTAGGTGGTATTCTAAGGCACATCGTAGTTCTATAACATTTTATACATTATAACGACATGCACAATGTGGCGAAGTCTGTAAATATGTGGTTTACATGCTTGAAAATTACATCATCAATTCTTGTTTGCTAAGGCGATAACAACTGTTCTAAATGAGTAGAAGTTATAATCTAACATGTCTAATGTACATATCGTCTAGACAAAAAATCTAAATAAAAACAAAATATAAAGCCAAATGCACGTCGAAAGTATTTCTTTATAATCATTTGATAATTCTAAAAAATATAGCGTCAAATTGAGATAAGATTCATCAGTAGGATTTAATTGCCCTTTTAAGCTGTTCCCAAAAGACAACATCGCCGTACTCATCATTTGGATACTCAATATATGATTGACAATGCACCAGTTCGATTATTTGCAGTGGAAGATTGCAAGCAGAAATTTGGTCGTAAAATACTAGAAAAAGGATGTTCTCACAATTGCTCTCATATATACTCTCCATTCTAGCCATATTATATTCGAACATACACCAGTACGAAGCTAAATAATTTGAAGACATTATGACAGTTGTTTTTCGGCTGTTATGAATTGCGGATGTAATATTAGTGGCAATGTCATTTCCGGGTAGGAAATTCCGCTTGTGCAAGCACAACTGAATTCCACCATATCTCTCTAATTCACGAAGAAGTGTATTGTGGACAAATGCTTGATCTTCATTGGCATATGATACGAAAGCATCATACATATATAGTCTTTCATCTGTATTGGCTGATTTATATTCGCTTTGGTGCAATTTGATATTGACCATGTAGTATAAATAGCGGAGTTTCCACCTGTATCTGTAGCTTATACCACCACAAAGAATAAAAGCAAAAATTAATATTCCTGTTGTAATTCCAATTATTATACCTTCATACGACATACATTCCTTAAGTATGGTTTCGTAAAGTTCTTTTGGGTTTCGAAAAAGAATGATGGTATTTTGAGAAGTTTTACATTCGTATTCCTCCCGACGATGAAGATTAGTAGGTGTGTTAACTATCCATTTGACGAAAGACAGAGATTCACAATTACATACAAGATTATTTCCACCAAGATCAATAGTGAGATTTTTTTTCATTTTGGCAATCGAATCCAACTCGGTCATTGCATATTCACCCAGCATAGATATTCTATTATTCCTTAAATTCAAAAACATGAGATTTTTCATATGTGAAAGTTTATAGTTGATATCCCAAATCATATTTTCACTGAGGTCTAATCTTTTTAAATTGTATTGCTTTTTAAATAACAGATTTGGTATATTCGTTATTTTATTTTTAGAAAGATTAATGTACACGACGTTATACAGGTTTTGAAATATTTCTCCCTGGACATCTGTTGGTAAAACGAGTCCTAAAAGATTGTTTTGCAGCAGTAAGTACTTTAAACTGACGAAATCTGGACTGAAAAATTTCTTTGAAATATTAGAACAAAAGTTTGTCGATAAGTCTACAACTGTCAGTTTTTTTACATTCGTTATTGGGCCTGTCCATGTGTGCAAGACATTGTCACTCAGACTTACATATTTTAACTCATTTGTACTGAAACGTAAGATAGGTATTTCATATTTCAGGTAGGTTGACCTAATAAAGACTTTTATCAGTTTTCTTGGCACAGGAAAAACAAACTTTGTCCACATTTCAAAAATTGGAAGTTCATTAAAAAACCAGTTGTTTATGGAATTAATTGTAACAGTCTCTTCTCTAAGAGGACATTCCTCTACGTAGGAAGACAAAACATTATAAGGAGAAACATTATCAGAAATGTCTAGTGATGTAATTGGCAGTTCCTTTAGATCAAGCACATATTTGCCTAAAGAAAAAATGTTGTCGCTTACATTTGCACTTTTTAAAGACTCAGGCAAATATTGTACCGTACCGGATTCTATTGTCTGAATACGGTTTCCAGCGGCTTCGAATTTAATAAGTGATGTATTTTTTAGGTTCCAAATGTGAGAAGTTTTCAGTTGGGTAGGCATTCCGAAAATACTATGAATGTTGTTTACTTTCAGGATTTTAACTGCCGAATGTTGCAAATCAGTGGTAATATTTTCAAGCGTTTCGAATCTTAAACATGTATTAAAAGACACATCAAGTTGGAATATATTTCTTAATATCTCAAACGTTCCTTTGAAAATATGTTGTATTTTGCATTTGGATAAGTTTAAATGAGTTATTTGAGGCAAGGACAAGAATGTCTTCTTTGTTAGTATATGTATTATGCAATTACCGGTAAAACCAGACATATCTATAATTGTAAGGTTTTTTAAATATACAAATTTTTCATCGAGAATTGCGATTTTGTCTGCAACATAATCTATTGACAGCGATTCTAGTGACCGTAATTTCCATAAACCTGGCACAAATGATGTGTTGACATTTCTTTTTAAATTCAAGCTTTTCAAGTTCTCCAAGAAATGAAATGCTGAATATTCAAACGACCTGTTTTCATATTTCAAATCATTGTTGCTGAGGTTCAAGGAGAGTAAATTTTGGAGTCCTTTGAAAGATGTTTTTCTTATTTGACTTATTCTATTAAAAGACAAATCCAAAGACTTCAGTAAAAAATTGCCTTCGAAAATCCCATCTTCTATTGTGCTGATATTATTATTTTGGAGATGTAGGTCTTGAAGATTGTTTGGTGACCTAGGTATACGGAGTAGCTCTTTTTCTGAACAATCCGCTATAAGATGTTCTGAACCAGGAGCGTTTTTGCACAGACAAGTACTAGCGAACTGACATGCTTTCCATTCGTTCATATCATGGACTATTGCAAATTTGCAACTTATTAGTAATACAAAAGCAGCAACCGGAATGTAAGAAAGGTTGATGTTCCCTGCAGAGAAAATAAGCACTAAATAAATTTCAGACTGCATGAGAAAGATGCACTGTTAAAACAAAATAAATGCAGTTGCGTTATGATGGGAAATAAGCTGGATTATAATTCACTGAAAATTGAAAGTTGTCGAACTCTGTGAACTGATGAAAGTTGCTGTCAATCGTAAATGTATCACTACAAACCAGTAAAAGTCTGAAATGGCCTATATCTTTACTCCACTGTACTGATTTGTACTCGACCAGTCTGAATTGTTCTGAATTTTACTCGATATAACTCGACCCAATCGTAACCGCACTCGACAGTCCTGATTTGTACTTGACCCTTATCTTTGCCATTGAAAAAAGTCTGTGCTATAAGTCGACTAATCTGAAACAGTCTTAACCCATTCTAGATTTGTACAAATAACCTCTACTTTTTTAAATTTTAACTATGTATGTAACTATCTATTGTCTATCTGACAAGACAACAGCAACAATAAAGAAAAGACATATTTACAGATTTTTACATCCTTGCATGATTATCAAATTTATCAAATCAAGATAGTCAAATGATCTAATTTTAAAGTTTGAGTCCTGGTACAATTAAAAAACATTTCCTTTAACCTGAAAACCCCACCTGTACTGAGGGTAAATAAACCTTATCAAGGTGCTTCTTGGTTGCCATTTGTTTTTTTTTAACAAAACTTAATTCATCTTTAAAAAAACTACATAGGTTTCATGGTTACATACAATAGTTGTATAACTATTTTTTTAACTGATATAACAACAGTCAACAAAATCACTGAAATTGTTAAACCTTATATCAAAAAATACATTTATTCTAAATATAATTTGGCCATATATATATATATATATATATATATATATATATATATATATATATATATAAGTCTAGAGATTTGCACAACGATACTAATATAAGATGGTATTATACTAAGATGTTGTTATATATATATTTATATAATATATATCTAAAAGGGATAACAAAAATAAGAAAAGTTTAAATCACGAAAATTGTTCTTCTGATTAGAGGTAATCTATAAAGTAATGCCTTCTGCTTGGGGTACACTTATTAAAAAGAGCACACCTGGTCAGAGAGTAACAAATTTTAAATAACATCCTTTGAAAATTAAACAACATCCTGTAAACTTAAATCACAAGGCCTTTTGAATTCGCTAGAAAAATAATACACGAGTTTAGAGAACAATAGGGTTTTCTACACACCTGTACTGACACACAAAACATGACTGAGGTAATTAAACCTTATTTAAGTGCTTCTTGTATGCGATGTCTTTAATTTTGACAAAAATTGAATAACCAACCTTTATTTTTATTGCAACTTTAGAACACAATTCCTTTTTTGAAAAGGTTATCAAGTATTGCTATGGAAGTTCTATAATATCATGTTCTTGGTTTGACAAAACACAGGTGTCAGCTTTAAACTTCATTAAGTTGTTTTATGTAAATATAAAAAAAATGTGCAGTGCGTTATTAACTAAACTTTACTGACACCATAAATGTATACCAGGCTAAGGTTAGTGTTGAAAATTTTCCCGTTACCATATAATATATCTGAAACATTTAAAACATTTTGAATTCCATTTAAGATATTTGAATAATGGTCGAAAGTTCTAGTATTTTCAATATAGTCTTACATAATGTAATGCGAACATGATCATGTATATTAAAATTCGTTTAACCTAAAACTTAATTTATTACATGATATTTTTTTTCCGACCAGAAATCACTTCCTTTGATCATCTTGTTTTATTTTTATTTCAAAGGTGATATACATTGTATTATATATATATATATAAGTGTTGATGATTATGAAATGTTGATTGTGAAATTTTGATTTCAATTCTATATTAAATACATTTAGGATTTCAAATTGTTGTTCACATTTCTAGCCAAGGGAAATATCTGTTGTTAAAAATTGTTCCTAAATTGATGAAATACAATAGATACATTGTACATACAGAAATAGGTCTAGGTTAGTTAAGACTTGATCGAGTATGGTTCAGGCTAGGTCGAGTATGGTTCAGACTAGGTCGGGAATGGTAAAGACTTGGTGGAGTATTGTTCAGACACTTATAAAATGTTTGAGTACTAGTCGAGTAAAGGTCGAATACAAATTCAGACTGTTAAGTATGGTTCAGACTACAGTCGAGTAATATCAAGTAAATTTCAGACCACTTCAGACTGGTCGTTTAAAAATCAGTACAGTCGAGTACAAATATAGGCCATTTCAGACTTTTACTGGTTTGAAGTGTATCAAACGAAGAAAAGAAAATTTAATTATAGTTTTAAAATACCCATCAATTATATCAGGCTTATATTTTGTTACGCAAGACGTGCTTTTCGTCTATGTAAGACACATTGGTGGTGCAGGAATCATTAGTTGAAAGGCAAAATTCAATACAAAGTTGAGAACCAATAGAAATCGAAACTTTGAAAAGTTGTGCCAAATAGGACTAAGGAAATATATGACAAGGGTTAGAAAAATCCTAAAATTTCGACGAATTCAACATTTTATACAGTCACACTATGTTTACAAAAAAACAAGAACTGGACGGATAATACTCTCGGGGACGAAACGTCCACCAGCAATGACATCGACCAAGTCAGGAATCTGAGAAGTGTTTTTTAAATAGGTCCTAGTATTTTTTCTGTAGGAATTTGGTGTTGATAACAGATCTTCAATATGCTATGTTCAATTTATTCACACTTTGTCTAGACTCTGTGCAATTTAGAGCGTCACAAACTGTGTAGTCACTTGTCTGTGATTTAGTAACCTCTGAGATGTCATTTGTCTAAAGATTGCTGTCTCAAGAACATATTTCCTTTGTATCAATTTAACTACAAATATAGAAGTTGGCATGACGCCTTTAATCGTAGTTGTCAATATCTAATCACTGGGGTTAGACAGTTGTGAACGAATCAATCAAAGACAACTAAAATGTCAAAATCCAATTTCTATTTGGACAAAACAAATATTATTTTGAAACGACAGTCATTGACAAAGTTTCAGACGTTTCTTTCGTGCTGTGTGGAAGGATAAAATTGTATCGATCTCAATTGACATGTAAAAATCACTCCAGAAATGAAAGGGACGAAAATTTGAATAAGGTTGCAGTATTGAATACAAGCATTAGTTTAATTAAAATTTTTCATACAAAATAGGTTAATTCTTTCTAAACATGTAATGATTTTTTGAATAAAAGAAAATATATACTTACACATCTTACTAACAAACTAAGAAGAAAGAAATAAGACGCACAATTCTATTGCTATTATAAAGTTACCGAACCCAGAAGAAGATGTCAAGAATTCAAGGTCAGGAAGTTATTACAGTTTAAAATTCAAAACACGGAGGAAGGAAGTCTTCACATATCTAAGTAGCGTTAGCTAGAACGATTTGAGATAACTTCATTTTATTTACATAAAAGTAATAAATAATTAATTATCGTTTCTCTTGTTCTAAACAGAGCAGTTGATTTTGATTGAATAGGAATAGTGTCATCATCTCAAATTTTTCAATTGTAGTAACACTTTCAGAACATGTTTTATAGTTACGGATTAGGAATGAAATCTTAATTGTGTATATTTTTTTGTCAGCAAATTGACAATAGTTCCAAATGGTAAAGTTGAAATCACCCCTTCGTAAATTTTACGGACGCCATCACGAGTTGGTTGACCGTTATGGAATAACCGTTTCACAGATGAGATCGGATATGTTCCTTATGTCGTAACTACAATGCCCTTCCCTTTTCCCGAATGTGACCTAGCGAATTAGACTATTTACCAAATTTGTATTAATATAAGCAACACGACGGGTGCCACATGTGGAGCAGGATCTGCTTACCCTTCTGGAGCACCTGAGATCACCCTCAGTTTTGGTGGGGTTCGTGTTGCTAAGTCTTTAGTTTTCTATGTTGTGTCATCTGTACAATTATTTGTCTGTTTGTCTTTTCATTTTTGGCCATGGCGTTGTCAGTTTGTTTTTGATCTATGAGTTTGACTGTCCCTCTGATATCTTTCGTCCCTCTTTTATAACTGCTTTGTATGGCAATATGAATCGTTGTACTACTAGTATCCTGTCCCAATCGAGTTGAATTGCCAAAACCTGATCGTTTTGCTCATATTTGATAACACTTCTTTGTAAATATGAAATGTACAAACTTAGTAGTCAATCGTCTTTATTTCATTGAAGACAGCATGTTGACTAGATGTATTCTGTCGTTCGGTTGCTGCATCAGGTACGCATGATATATGTAACATTTTAATCATATTTATAGAAATCAACATGCCACCTCTAGTCTTAAACAGTTGGGATTTTTTTACAAAATCAAGGAAAAATACGTCGCAAACATCAAGTACCTAGTGATGAAAAAAAAAACATTTATAAACAACTAATGTCACTGACAAGCATAATTTTTTTTAAAAGAAGTAAATCGGATGCATCATGAACTATGCACATTTCGAAAATTCATTTCTGGTTAGGTTAACTTTACAACAGTTGTATACTACCTATCCTGTTGTATGGTTCTGAATGTTGGCGAATGACAGAGGCAGACCAACAGAAGCTCTCTACATTCCATACCAAGAATCTGAGGAGAATCCTGAGGATATTTTGGCCACAAAAAGATCACCAACCAGGACCTCCTCAATACATGCAAACAGGAAGAGATCAACATACTCATTAGCAGGAGAAGATGGAGATGGATTGGCCATGTTCTACGTAAGAAGAACTAACAAAAGCAGCAATATTCTGGACCCCAGAAGGAAAGAGACGAAGAGGACGACCTAAGATAACATGGTGGCGCACAGTTGAGTCTAAGATGGCATATTTCCAACATACTTGGGGGAGCTTGAAGAAGATGGCACAAAACAGACAGATGTGGAGAAACTTCGTTGCTGCCCCACACGCCAATAGGCGTAATGGGCAGTAAGTAAGTAAGTAAGTAATGTAACTTTGTACTTGCTGCTTGAACAAAACATAAGAAATCAGAAAGAATCAAAAGAGAGCTAGGTAGTTGTTGGTAGCTGGACTGTTCATGTTTTATTACTGTGTGTTTTACTTTTATAACATTTGGTCTTGTCAGGTAAAGGGAGCGTGAATATAGACTTGTTTATAGACTGGTTCTCTGTCCTTTATCTATTTGGCTCTGACAGATATAAGACAACAAAGGTATATGTTGCAAGGGAGAGGACCAGCCTAACTTGTTTAGAAATACAACGTTGTTTTGAAACCGTACTGATAAGTCTGGCCATTTAGAGCATGTCTTGTTTTTTCTCAGAGCGGATTGTTGGTGATTGGTTTATCTGTTTTAATTGTTTAGACAGTTGTGAAATTTATTGTTCACGAAAGTACTTAAAAGGTTGACCAACAGGAGAAGGGGCAATAAGGCCCTCATTTGAACCAAATATTACTGCAAATCAAAAAGTTCTAATACATATTCTTAAATTTGTCCAAATTACACTAAGGTATAAAGGTATTCTGAAATAAAAACAAATTTCACATTAAACGAGTTACAAACATTGACGAAATTTGTATATTATGTAAATATTTTGTATTTTTCTTGTTTTACGCCCACTTTTAAGTATATCTTAGATTTGAATGATATATGTGCGCACCCAAGAAACAACTTTGTATTTGGTAGAATAATGTTGATAGTTGTTACAAAGTGTCAATTAACTTTGATGTTGACCCGATTGCTTACGGTGTATTAAAAAAAAAATCAATTCTGCAGTTTTCATGAAAACTGTGCATATTGTGACGTAATTGTGACGTCAATACATCAAACATCTTATGTAATTGATTTATATTTCTTGATTTTATGCATTTACAAACATTATGTGCATATTTGTAATAGTTCTCAAAAACTAAATTTTATTTGGCCAAAACCGACCTTTGAATACCCTATGGTGTGAAAAAATATAAACATGATAAATGAAATTGAAATTCTAAATTAGAAAAGAAGTTTTAAGTAACAAAATTTTACTAGGACCATTCTATTTTACATTGTTTTGACATGATCGTCATGTTAAAGTATGCTATTGATTTTGATTACAGCTGAAAAGGCGTAAAGAATGGGTCCGTTAGGTCGACAACCCAGTAGTCCAACAGTTCTTTGTTTCATTGGTTTAACAAATCAATCTGTAAATGCCTGTCCAAAGTCAAGAGCCTGTAATTCGGTGATTGTGGATGGTTGTTGTCTGTCATATATGTTTTCCGTTTATTAATTCAGCATTCACAGATCAGGCCGTTGGTTTACTTGTTTGAATTGTTTAACAATTATATTTTATGACGGAACCTTTTAAAGTGAACCGTATGGTATTGATTTTGTTTATTTTTAAAGGCCAGACGGTAATGTACAGATGCTTACACCTACGTCCTTTCCGACGTAAGAGGATATTGCAAAACCAAAAAAAAAATTATACGATGAAATTGGGGTATGTAAAAGAACAGTAATGCAGGATGTTCCTTCAAAAAGTATCACTGTACCAACAAAGTGTCATGCCATGGTCCTTTTGCGCAATAAACAAAAAATGTTTCCACACTGAAGGATGTTGACAAAACGTAAATGATGACCCTATTATTAATATAGGTTATATGTATTGTTTTGTGGACTTTCTAGTCTTTTGTAGTATTTTGGAGGGGGTGTTGCCAGTTGTTTTTTACTTATAAGTTTTGAGTGTTTCCTTAGTAATTTTTGCTTTTTTTTAGCAATCAACAGTTTGCATCGATTCTTCAGACACAAGGGAAAATTCAAAAACTACTAATCGATACATATGTAATCCTCAGTGTTATTTATTTTATTCAAAAATATATATTGTGCTCATTATGTAAAACAATTTAATTGGTGATGTCTATGGATAAAATACGACGGTTTCTGTCACATTATATTGTCGTATTATATCTTTCCAATGTTTCTGTCTTTAAGTTGATTACGCCATAAGATCCCGTTCAATCTAAATTAAACAAAGGCAACAGTAGTTTACCGCTGCTCGAAATTCATAAATCGATTGAGAAAAAAACAAATCCGGGCCACAAACCAAAACTGAGGGAAACACACCAAACACAAGAGGAGAACCACGACAAAAACATCAATGCAAATAAAACCAGTTAGCGTTAACGTTACCTTTTATCCCAACGATCTCAATTGGTTTAATCTGAACCACTGAGTTCACACTTCAAGTAAACATGCAATTAATCTGGCCTTATTACACGTGAAACTGTAAACAATTTGGATATAAATAGAAATATTTAACCAAATCAATGTGTTGATACTCACACTTGCAAAAAAAAAAAGACGAAGTTATTGTTTCCCTTGAATTACAAGTTCAAATGTTGATATCGCTGTTTTTACATCAGGTACAGTGTTCGTTAATTTTTAATAAAAAAACTTTCGAAAAGATGTTACAACATCGCGAGATGCTGCGGTTCCTGAAAATACAAAAAAAAAAAAAAAAAAGAAAAGAACACACAGATTTCAAAAATTTATGCTACGGTGAAGGCAACTATTTTTCCGTTGTTTTAGTTTGCATGAAAGGTAAATGTATCAACCCTATTGTGTTGGTCGATCATTTTGAAATAAATTGCACGTGTAGTTTTGCCTCCATAGATGCGCACAGATTATGTTCGATTCAATCGTACTAGTTTAGATCGATCCCTAAGTTCACATTCCAAGTTAGATCGGTTGATATTAGATCGATTCAAACTAAACTGAGGACTTCTTTAGGTGTTTTAGTTTATACTGATTCAAGATCGATTCAAAGCGTTCACATTGGACTTAAATCGATCTAAATGTCAAAAGGTAAACGGGGTCTAAGTTTCCTACTTCGACGTCTCGGATTCAGGAACATGTCATTTTTCACAAAACTAACTTGTCTTGTCTCATTAGATTTGATATTGTAACGCTGTGTATCATTTTATTTACTTTACAGTTTTCCCTCTACTTTTCTTGTACTATTGTGTTCCTTTTTTGGTCGTATGAATCTTAGCCATGTTAACGTTGCTCGGTAAACGTGCATCCAACTTTCAGGCTTTTTAGATTCATGCGTTACTTTGCGGGTGGTTGCTGATGCATGATGTTTTCATAGTGTTGGTTTTTTTTTATACCCCTTGTATCTATGTTTTACCTAATTTGTACTATGTACTCATTTTTGCACCTTTTGTTTGCGTTATACCATCTTTTCCGCAAGTTTATTGTTTTCTGTTTGGTATTAAATTAATAATTAAGATTCATTTTGTTACATCTGGTGATCCGTGTATTTGGCAATCGCCAATTGCAGTCAGCAGGGTTTAAGAACATCCGTTGTTTGACCTGCTAGTCAAATGCGTTTTATTAAAATATAAGTTTTCACTTTTTTTGGTCTTTTGGAAAATGTTGTTTGTGCTGTATTTAGACCCCTCTACCAAGAAATTTGTTTTGAATGCACACGTATAAAAATTGCGGTTTGTATCCAACGCAATCATAGGTTTGAACGTTGTCTTCAATTTAGACTTGTATATAGATCTTTGTTTAATAACGTTACGCTTAACTTAGTAAAGGAAGAAAGATAAGAAGTTAGCAATATCCTTTAACTTTACGTTCCGCTATATAGATGATGTTCTCTCACTAAATAATACGAAATTTGGTGACTATGTTGAACGAATCTATCCCATCGAACTAGAGATAAAGGATACTACAGATACAGTTAAGTCTGCCTCATATCTTGACTTACAACTAGAAATTGACAATGAGGGTCGGTTGAAAACAACACTTTACGACAAAAGAGATGATTTCAGCTTCCCAATTGTGAACTCCATTTCTATGTAGCAACATTCCAGCAGCGCCTGCATACAGAGTATATATCTCCCAATTGATATGATATTCCAGGGCTTGTATTTCCTATCATGATTTCCTTGATAGAGGATTGCTGCTCACGAAGAAGCTATTAAACGAAGAGTTCCAAATGGTGAAGTTGAAATCATCCCTTGGTAAATATTACGGACGCCATCACGAGTTGGTTGACCGTTATGGAATAACCGTTTCACAGATGGTATCGGATATGTTCCTTATGTCGTAACTACAATACTGTTCCCTTTTCAGGAATGTGACCTACCGATTTAGACTATTTACCGCATTTGTAATAACATAAGCAACACGACGGGTGCCACATGTGGAGCAGGATCTGCTTACCCTTCTGGAGCACCCGAGATCACCCGCAGTTTTTGGTGGGGTTCGTGTTGTTTAGTCTTTAGTTTTCTATGTTGTGTCATCCGTACTATTATTTGTCTATTTGTCTTTTTATTTTTGGCCATGGCGTTGTCAGTTTGTTTTCGATCTATGAGTTTGATTGTCCCTCTGTTATCTTTCGTCCCCCTTTTAGTACTAATAAATTCATAGTAAAATAAAAATCTCAAAGCATGAACTACAAATCACATCTTCTTCCAGATTGAACCCCCTAGACCCTTCAACTGAGTCCGTGTCTCCTAAAGAAACGATAAAAGTGAGCTAAACAGAGCTGACAGATTTAAACATGACATATGTCTATACTATGGACAGCGATTAACAACTAGAGTTAACACAGATTTTGTTGACCGATTTGTGTTTTATATTTCAATGTTTGCAAATATAGATCCAACCTGTTCATAAGCCCAATGTTATATAATTTATTAAACAGATCATCAACTTACTTATCTTAAATTTTGAATAAAAATTCATTTATAGTCAGTTAGAAGATAA